TCGGATTACTTTATAAACACTGTGGAAATTGGTATCTATTTCTGACAAAGAATCATAAAATTGAATGCCTGTGTTTAAACATATATGATCTGGTATAAATGAAGATACAGAGTTAGAAGAGATGTCCAAAGTCAGATTCCAGATAAATAATGTGACCTGATGGTTATGGGAAATAGTGTCAGAATACAGTGTGGACCAAACACACATTCTAAATTACTCAGGAGAGTATACATGACCACCTGAGGTTAATTATGTTTCCATAACAAACTTGAGTGTTAATTAAGAGGAAACAGTTATTCAAAAATGTCCATGTACTTAAGAAAAGTTGAACATCAGACTTTGCATTGTATGCTGGAGAACCTTTTAAGAGAGTTATATAAAAATGGGCATTCACAAAAAAATCAATCATTAAGGGTCAGGGGCCTTGGCATCTGTCCACTCAGTGAAGCATGCTCATGCTATTTTGAAAACTCACCCAGAGTATTCCCCCAGTATGTTCCCTCTGCCTGGACCAAGCCACAATTTATGTGCACACTTAAGTTCCTCCAAATGCAGCATAGATGAAGAAGGGAGAACTTCAGGTCATCTGTAAACAATAACTAGTCTTTGGGAGTTTATGTCACTTGCGTTTTCTTTAATTCATATATCTCCAGTGTCATCCAAATATGATACTTTAGGGGCTGGGGAGATGGCTTGGTAGATAAGAGTACTTTCTTCTCCTCCAGAGGTCCTGGATTCAATCCTCAGCAAGATCATGGTGACTCAGCTGGGCGTTGGTGGCACACGCCTTTAATCCCAGCACTTGGGAGGCAGAGGCAGGCGGATTTCTGAGTTTGAGTCCAGCCTGATCTACAGACTGAGTTCCAGGACAGCCAGGATTATACAGAGAAACCCTGCTTCCAAAAACTGAAAAAAAAAAAAACTGAAAAAAAAAAAAAAAAGATCATTGTGACTCAACCATCTACAGTGTGATCTGATGCCCTCTTCTGGCATGTAGGTGTACATGCAGATAGAATACTCCTCATTCATTAAATTAATTAATTAATTAAAAGTGTGATACTTTAGAGATTAAAGAGACACACACCCTGAAAATGTGAGAAAGGATATGCACAACATACCAGTTTTACAAGGAATGCTGGAATCCTAGTAGGTTTGGATTCCTCAGGTGTTCCAGTTCACAAGAAAGCAACACATATAATTCTCTATCTGACATGCATCTATCTGGAATTCATGTTGCTCCAGTACATATTTTTCATAATATTTATAGAACTTAAAAGAGACATATTTTAGATGGAATTTATCATAGTCTCTTTTAGAAATGTAAAATTATCCTCCTGCTGAAAGGGAACTCATATTTAACTACTAAGGGATAAATAGTTTGGATTTTAACTTACTATTAGATGCTTGAGTTTGCTATAAATTTTCAGTTCAAAACTGATGGGAAGATTAAAGCTGTTTAAAATTTTAAGTAAACTGCTTTTTCAGATTTTGCATATACTCAGAATTAATCATGCTAGTTAATTATATTAATTAATATGATAAAATGCTATGAATTAATTTTTATCATCGTAGTTTAATACAAATTTCCACACAGAAATCACATGATTATAGAATATATCAGAGATTGTTTTAGTAAAAGAGAGGACGAATCTTATGTAGTTAGATATTAGAAATTTCCTACATTTTCATTTTCTTTTTTTCTTTTTAAAATTGGATATTTCAAATGTTATCTCCTTAACCAGTTTCCCCTCCACAAAGTTTATCCCCCTCCCTGGCATATATGAGGGAGCTTCCTCACCTGCCCACACACTTACCCCTCAGCGCCTCAGTATTCCCCTACTCTGAGTCATCAAGCCATCACAGAATCAGGGGGCTCCCCCTCCCATTGATGTCAATTAAGGCTACCCTATTTTACATATACAGCTGGTACCATGGGCGCCCCTATGTTTATTCTTTGGTTGGTGGTTTAGACCCTGGGAGCTTTGGGAGTTCTGGTTGGTTGATATTCTTTTTTTCGTATGGGGTGGCAAACCTCTTCAGCTCCTTTAGTCCTTGCCCGAACTTCTCTATGAGGTTTCTGCACTCAGTCTGAAGTTTGGCTTCATGCATGCTCTTCTATATTGGTTAGGCTCTGGCAGAGCTTCTCGAGGATACCTGTACCAGCCTCCTGTCAGCAAGCACTTCTTGACATCAGCAATACTGTCAAAGTTTGGTGTCTGTATGTAGGATGGATCCCTAGGTGGAACAGTCCCTGGGTGGCCTTTCCTTCAGACTCTGAAAAACAATTTGTCCCTGCATTTCCTTCTGACAGGAGGAATTCTGGATTAACATTTTTGAGGTAGGTGGGTGGCCTCATCCTGCAACCAGGGCATGTGCCTATGTACTGGTGTATTAGTCAGTGTTTTACTGCTGTGAACAGACACCATGACCAAGGTAAATCTTATAAAAAAAACCCCAAAGTTTAATTAAGGCTGGTTTATAGGTTGAAATGTTCAGTCTATTATCATCAGAGTAGGAATATAGCAGTATCCCAGCCATATCGGTGCAAGAGTAGCTGAGAATTCTACACTTTCATCTGATGACTACTAGTGGACGACTGAATTCCAGGCAGCTAGGGTGCATGCATTAAAGCCCATACCCTCAGTGGCACATCCATTCCATCAAGGCCACACCTCTAATAGTACCATTCCCTGTTCAAAGCATATTCAAACCATGACATCTGGATATGGTCTTTACACGTTCTCTTTCCCCTTTGTTGGGTATTTCAGCTAATCCCCTTGCTGTAGGGTCCTGGAAACCTCTTGGATTCTTGACAACTGGAACTTTCTAGTGGGTATGACCAGTTCCCCTTCCCCCACTGCTACATACCTCCATCAAAATTCCTGATGCACTCGACTTCTGCAAGATCTCTTGTATTTGAACTAGTCCCCCTTTTCCTTCCTCTTTTCTCTCCCTCCAAGATCCCTCTTTCTCTTCTCGAAATTATTTTCTTCCTCGTTCTGAGTAGAACTGTAGCATAGAAACTTTGGTGTGGTCTTCCTTCTACTTGGGTTTCAAATAATCTATGAGTTGCCCACTTTCAATTTCATGATAAATCAAAATGGCTTGTGGTAGATCACTGCCAATGACTTCTTAGTTTGTTGACACTGAAAAAAGCCAGTCTCTGAGGATGAACTGTTAATTAAATTCTCATTATATACATGGAAAATCTGCCTACAGTGATGGTGGCATGATAACCCATGCATTTAAATCTAGCACAGACATTCTTGCACGGGTATACGTGGGGAACTTTTAGAATGGGAGGTTTAAAAGACTGAGGTTCAGCCTATGCTATTGGATCACTAGTGAGATAATGAGGAAGAAACTTCTCTGCTGGGCCATGCTGCTGAGGATTGGGTGAAATTGGGGATAGAATACTTCTGGTGAGGGAATTAAGAAATGAAAGTCCTCAATATTAATGAGTGTTGAACTAGGTCATGTACTATATAGGTATTGCGAAAACCTGAGAGATGAGTACCTCAGAGGTATGCTAGGTGCTGCAGTATCTGCTCTGCTGAGCTTGTATCTTACTGTTACTGGAGGTCCACAGCCAAAGAGGACCAGCAAATGATACTATAGCAGAATAAGTTCTCTGTCCAAGTGTTGTCTATTTAGGGAAGGTAGCAGTTGTCAAGCAAATAGAAATAAAAATTATACCCTTTGTATAGATGTTTACTAAATTATTGTTAAACTATTTCCCCATGTATATAATATATTATTAATAATACTGACAAAGTATACAAGAAGATTAATATCCAACCATTGTGACATCATCTCAAACACTTCCACAGAACATTAGCATTATGACATGGGCACAATTCCTTGCCCCTGTGGACAATCAAGAAGTTGTTCATTCATGAGCTTTCAGAGACAAGCTGGAAATGGTATCTGAAAGCTGCCACTCCTTGCTTCTTCCCATACATTTCTCCATTCAAGGCACATATATGAGGAGTGTACGCTGATATCTGTGCATATCTGTCAACTGGGAAGCATGAGTAGGCCCACAGTCAAATCTGCCTATCTTGCCAAAAACTCAAAATATCTATTTTTTATATTAAATTCCCTTTTAAAATAAATAATTGACAGGGATTTGTTTTTCTGGAACACTCTTTACATCATTAGTTTTCTCTCATTCTTAACAACTATCCTAACAATTATACAAAAAGCTTTGTCTCAATGGGCTGATTAGAACACATATTACTTTTACTTTTTATTAGTATCAATCCTTTGGGTAAGAGGCCTAATTTTCTTGAGACTTTAATTTCTATTTAAAGAGAATTTTGTTATCTTCTATAAAGGTGGTGTCCCTCATGGTTGGTACCAGCTGTGGAGGTCATTACAAGTACCATGGCTGGCAGAGAAACCAAACATTTGTGGCAAGAAGGAAACTGGGGTAAGAATTAAATAATTAGGTAACAGCATTTCACAGGTCTAAAGTCTGACATCAGGGCAGTATATTTTAGACACATTTAAATACAGTATAATATTTGAAACCAAAAACTTTTATTTCAACTTTATTTGCACAGTAAACCTAAGACATGGCTACATTGAAACTTTTTTGCAATGTACATGTGACTTCTCCCATAGGCTTGGATTCAATTTGAGAAAGGTAACTAATGGTGAAGGTCTGTGATGGAAGATTCTGGAGAATCTGGGTGAGCAATTATAGATAGAAAAGGTCATTAGTTTACTAACAACATCCATTCTCAGTATTCTAGGTGAAAAGCAAGTATATATTTCTTCCATTGAGGAGGCAGCACTATGTGATTAACATTCCTAGTTTCTCTTTGTTTATCTGTGAGCACTAGTGCCCACTGAAACTAGAAGAGGATGTTTTAATTTTGCAATCATAAGAAGCTGTAAGGGTACTTCCCTCTATCTGTATTGCAATATCAACCCAGGCCTTTGCATACTGTTCCCCGAGGAGGAACCACCCATGCCAGTTTTGGATAAAAAGGCCTGTTGTCTTCTTCTTTGACTGAAAAGTCTTCTCAGGATTCCTCCTCAAAATGAAGTTGCCTGGTAGACTGTTGGTGCTGTTGTTCTGGATTCCTGGTGAGAATAGGAGGAATTGAGAATGGGGAGGTAGCACAAGAACTCGGTCATACTGCTCACTACATGTATTGTGCCATGTATGAGTAGACAAGTATTATCCTCCAGTATGGGGTATGTCGGGTGTATATCTGCGAGAAGGAGGTTTCAGATGGGAGAGAACCTAGGCTACAATGAATATTATGACATGGATATATGGGATAATCTACATTAAGTATAGAAGCACCGTGGGGATTCTATTTAACTTGTTAGGATGGGAATTTTAATATATAAATTGTTGTATGTACAACAATCTAACATATCTAAGTTGAAATGTGTTTAAAAAATCATAAGATTGTTCATGATTCTGTACTTCTCTCTTATTTTTTCAGCTTCCAGTAGTGATGTTGTGATGAGCCAAACTCCAGTTTCCCTGCCTGTCAGCCTTGGAGAACAAGCGTCTATCTCTTGCAGGTCTAGTCAGAGCATTGTACACAGTAATGGAAATACCTATTTGTCTTGGTACCTGAAGAAGCCAGGCCAGTCTCCACAGCCCCTAATCTACAAGGTTTCCAACAGATTTTCTGGGGTCCCAGACAGGTTCAGTGGCAGTGGGTCAGGGACAGATTTCACACTCAAGATCAGCAGAGTGGAGCCTGAGGATTTGGGAGTTTATTACTGCTTCCAAGGTACACATTTACCTCCCACAGTGATGCAGACCCTAACAAAAATGACCTTGCTTGGAGTATCACAGCTGTCAAATAAGTTACTTATCTGTATGAAAGAGAAGTGTTTTGGAACTGCAGATTTTGTGCTGCAGGTGACAGCATGTGCATCTTGGCTACAGCTCACTGGTCATCCTTTTTGCCTTCATTGACTACAATAACAATGATATTGCTTCTGCCTCAGTAGAATAGTGAACAAGTGGCCTCGCAGCAATAAGCAATGATGGTTGTAAAACATAGTATAAACCCATTTTTTTCCTACAGGCCTTGTCTTTTTGTCTTTCTTTGTTACTCAACATTATCCAGTAAAGCAGATAGGAAACTGAGAAGTATTCCTTTGTTAAATTCTCTCACTTACTAATAATTGCTTCATTTGCCACATTTTAAGCATTTGATTAAATTCTATTGTATGTTTATTATCTTCTGTTTGTTTTCCATTTGCGTGAAGTATGTCCATTGACTCTGTACCTTTCTTTCTTTTTTATTTACATTTATTTAGTTTTTATTTATCTGTTATACATGTGAAGTGACAGTGATTTATATAAGCACCCCAAATTTATTCATCTGACAATAGGAGAAAAGATTCTAAAAGTTTATTAGCATGAATATTGCCTTTCTATGTGTTGATAGTATTGTTTTCATTTTGATTGAACATATAGGCTGCTAAAAGGAACACCGATAAAAATTATTTTAAATGGAAAGAACATTTAAGGGATCCAAAAATAAAAAACGATGTAATATCCATGCTTCAGTATAAAACATACTTCATTTCTTATCTACTTCTCCAGGCCATTGACCCTGTGAATTTCTTTCTTTCTTTTTTTTTTATAATTTATTTTTTCTCAAATTGGAATTTCTTCACTCAGGGGTTATAAACACAGAAAGGCAGGATGTGGGGAAGGGAATGACACTGGAGTGTGGGTGTTCAGGGGGAATACAGATATCTTCAGAACCGAGTATCGGCTGGGTGAAGGTTCAGGGGACAAGTCACTATGACTCTGCCTATGACTCGCCTGTCCTTATCTAAGTTGGTATTGTCTGCCCAGGCTACCTATTTACAAGGTCTATGACTTCTCAGGCTTGTAAATTTCCTCAAAAAGCATGATATTTACTTGAATCAGCCAGCAAAATCTCATCTGTCAGGGCAGGACAGAAGCATAGACTCAGGAGCTGACTGTGTTCCCAAGCATTCCTCTTAGCAATTATTTAAACAACAACAATAGCAGCAGCAGCAGCAGCAACAACAACAAAACCCAAAATCATCTGTGTCAAAATTTTGCTAAAATTTTTCATCAATCAGAATTATTTTTTCTTTTTTGGTTAGGAATAGTCATTATGCTTTTGCAAACAAACAAAAATAAATAAATAAGGAGGAAGTTGGTCAGCTACATTAAATCGTTCCTGGCTAACCTAGGGACTACAAACTTGAATTTAATTTTACCTTATGATCAAAATGGAGTCTGAAAACCAAGTGGCAGTATTTTAAGCCTCATCTGTCCACTACACCACTGTCTCCTCCTCTCCTTAAGGTCTATTCTCAATTCCTCTCTCATCATATTTTTTTTTTAACTTACAAACTTTATAGATTCCAGATAAATCATTCAAATGTAACCATTAGGATCCACTTATGAGAGTGAATCCATGACATTGCTCTTTTTCACTCAGTATATATTTTCTGATAGTTCCACACATTTTCTTGCAAATTTCCTCATTTCAGCCTTTTATGAAGCTAAATAAAATTCCACTTGGATGTGTCTCACTTTTTCATTAGCCATGCTTCATTTGATGGATGTCTAGGCTGATTGCATTTCCTAGTTTTGTGAATATACATTTATAGATACACATGTATTTATTCATTTGGTAGGTATATTGTTGACTATATATGTACATGTCTAAAAGTACATGTTTTAAGGAAATATATAAATATCTTTCTCTAGTAGTGGCTAAGGAGCCATGTTCCATTGCCATTTGCTTAACTTCATGGTGAGGCCACATAAACCAACCGCAAGTTTTTCACGGGAGAAATGATGTATATTATACCATACTTGCTAATCCATCTTCTGTCATGAACACCTTCCATGGCCTCCCTCTTCAGTTTATAGTCCTCTCTTCCTGTTCTTCGTTGCTATTGTTTATTATTATATATGTATATGTGTTGTATACACACACAGACATGCACACACATACATACATATTTATATATATGTATATACACACACACACACACACACACACACATATATATGTGTGTGTGTGTGTGTGTGTGTGTGTGTGTGTGTGTGAGAGAGAGAGAGAGAGAGAGAGAGAGAGCATTCTTCTCAGTGGACAAATCTACACTACAACTTCTTTATCTATCATTCAGAGAATGTTACAAAAGAGGAGGAGATAGAAAAATTATAAGTGACAAACAAAGAATTCTGTTATAAAATATTCTTTCCTAGAAACAACTGCGTAAACAACACTTAGATTTTGTGTGTGTGTGTATATATATATATATATATGCATATATAGGTATATATATGTGTGTGTGTGAGTATATATATGTGTGTGTGACAATTCTATTTTTATAGAACCCAAGACAACCAGCCCAGAGATGGTACCCCCCAAAAGGGTCCTCCTCCTTTGATTACTAATTGAGAAAATGCTTTACAGCTGGATATCATGGAGGCATTTTCTCAACTGAAGCTCCTTTTTCTGTGGTAACTCCAGCTTGTGTCAAATTGACACAAAATCAGCCAGTACATACACCTAAGTGATCCACAATAATACCAGAAGAATAGTTGCTCAACTATGTTTAGAGCAGCTTTATTCATAACAGCCAAAAACTGGAAACAACCCAGATGTTCCTTCTGCAAAGAATGTATAAAGAGAATGTGGTATATTTATACAATGGAGTATTATTCAGCTGTTACAAAAAAATGACTTCATTAAAATTACAGGCAAATTGATGAACATAGAAAGAACTATCTTGAGCTATGCTACTCAGACCCAGAACATAAAAAATGACATATCCTTTATAAGTGAATATTAGCAATTAAATAAAGGAAAATCACATTACAATCCACAGACCCAGAGAAGCAAAATAACAAGGAGGGCTCTAGTGTGGAGGCAGTGATCTCTCTGGAACGAGAAAATTGAATAGATTTTGTGAGTATTTTGGGATCAGGTGGGCATGGGAACAGGAAGTATCAGGTCAGGGAGGGTGACATGGGATAAAAGAGCACAGGGAGAGAATACTGGAATAGGAAGTAATTTAGGAGATAATGGGTGAACCTAATGCCATAGGAACTTTTGGGATCCTATCATGGTGAACCTAGCAAGGACTCCTAGAAAAGGAGGATACAGAACGTGAACCAACCATCTTCTATAACCAGACAAGGTGGTGGGACTGAGACGCCAATTTTACCATGTAACTTTTGACCCACAAGTGTCCTGCCTGCAAGATGTGCTGGGGCAATGGTTCCTCAGAGCCTGTAGGGTTGGCCAACCAAGGACTGGTCTAACTTGTGGTTCTAGTCATGAGAGGAATATCATGCCTTATCCTGACTGGAATAGCCAGAGACTTAAAGCTGTATGCCTTAGAGAGCTATGGTAGAATCAAACACAACTGACCAATAAAAACTGTAAATGAAATGATTCCTAACTATATTCTGCTATACCAATAGATTGGGTCCTAGCTCTTTTGTCAGAAGACAGACTTCTTTTTAGAGATAATAGGAGCAGATGGAGATATATGAGTCTGAACATTATGCAGAGCTCTGGAAACTGTTTTGATTAGACTGTTTATATTTTGAATGACATGATTTTATTAAGTTTGAATTTTATTGTTCTTTTTATATTGTAAATATAAGACCCTATTTGAATGTATAATTTTCATGCATTGTATTTCAGGCTGAAATCCACATTATATCCAACAGCTAGATTCAATTTTTTTCAGGTCTAAATAATTAATATTTCCACTTACACAGCAGGGATTAAGTCATCAAACCACACAAACTCAAGTCATCACCATTTTAATCTCACGATTGCTAGCTTTCTTAGCACATTTTCACTTATAGGCATGTATCTGATTAAGTTCTGGCTTTAAATATCTTCATTTTTGCTACAGTAAATAAGCACTTATATCTATTTTAACTCATTCTTTCTACACATTCAATCTCTTAGAACAATTTATTGAATTATAGAATTATCCTTTCTATCAAATGATTATGAATCTATAATTTCATATGAAGTTGTTTGTTCATGACATGTTTTCCTTTAGTTCTTTGACAGTTACTTTATTCTCTATAGGATTTCATTTGACCAGTGTAACTGCCCGTTCTGCCCAACATTCGAGGGCCACTTTTTCCTGGTCTGAGCTACTGCTCTGGTCCGCAGGTCTAGCAAGAGAGAGAGTGAGGGTGGAGGGTCAAGAGATGCGAAGAATGGAGACAAGACAGAGAGAGGGTCTGATCAAGTCTCCCCTTATTTACTGAAAGGAAATCCTGGGTATTTATATCCTTTACCATGTGCTTTGCCTTTGTGGACAAGCAGGGGAACACAGCTGAAGGCACTATGTCATGTGCCTTGCAGCGTGGATACCATGTGCACCTTGCAGCTGAGGGCACTAAGCAGCAAAACAAGATATGAGAGAAAAACAAGATGTTTATCAGAGTGTGCTCAGCTTTTGTAGGCTATTGAAAACAAGTCTCTTGTCAGGGTATATGGCCTGAGATGGCTGCAAGGATGATAGCCGCTTTCTGCTAGGAGTCAGATCCCAACAGACCAGAATTTTAGTAAATATAATTCCAAAATGTACTTTCATCCTTAATGTACTTATTCCTGTGTATATAGATACACATAAGTATGTGCCTATATATGCATTTATGTGTATACTTACCCATAAATTTTTTCCTTTCAAATTCTTGGCTTCCTTGTCTTCATAAACAACTTGGTATTGGTATACAAACTGGCATATTCAAAAATAGAGCTTTTAAGTTTTATTTTAGAAATAACCATATTCTTCCAAATGCTCTCCAATACTTTGTCCTTTTATTGAGCAGTGATTCTCCTTTCCATTTTTACATGCTAAATGTAGCATATAAAATTACAGATCTCTAGTAAACTGAAAATACTGAATGCAAGACTCAACTACCATTAGTTCCACTGGTACCCTACTTAACATTAA